GGGGCACTCAGAGTCTCAAATAATTTATTGTTGCGGCAACCAGAGTCTCATTTCTTGTTTAAAAAGATTTCTTAATATAAAGCTCGACCGTACCCCATTACCCTACAATCCCTGAGGCCCCTGCATTGGCGCCGGGTTAGCTTAAGGTTTAGGGTTTAGGGTTTACGGCCTCTTAACCAGAAAAGCCCTGAATCCCAAGCCGTTGAGGTGCGGAATGCGCCATCAGATCCTGTACATCTCATCTTGGCACTGACGCTCGGCAGCTTTTTGGAGTAGACACGTGTTCCCAGAGACTTCGGTATCCGTTAAGCAGGGGGTCCTTTATCTACTTTCATTTTAGGGCCCCTTTTAGGACTCCTTCAAGGGATCTATAAGGGTTTCTTCAGGGTTTTGTAAGGGTACTATAAGGGTCTAATTTCTCTAATTTAGGATCCTTGTTAGGGTTCTTTTTATAAGGGTGCCGTACTATGTTGGGGACCAACAAAGGGACCCTGATTTAGAGCACTACCCATATGAATTCCTACCATATAGCCGAATATCAACGGCTGTGGGCTAGAATACGCAGCCCCTGAGCGACAACATTTGAGTTGAGTTTGGCAAAGACGTAATATAGAAGGCTGAAAAATTATTATTTAGGGTTCGTCTTTCGTTGTAGATTCATGCTACATTATACTCCCCGCCCTGAAGCCGAAGGGTCTTGGTGCAGGTCGGACTTCCGAGGGGAGCGACCACAGGAAATACATCCACGGCTCGAAGGTGTCGATGAGCACCAGTCCGCGCGGTCGCATCGAAGTCGCAAATCACAGGAACGACATCCACGGTTTGCGGGCGTTGATGAAGTCCAGTCTCCACAGTCGCAATAAGGTCGCACATTCGGAACGACTTTTGACTTTATCATGTTTGCAGCTTAAAGGGTATAGTTAGACCTTTTGAGGTTATACTGTTGATGATATAGATCCTGCATTGCCTTAAGGACCCTATTGGAATTATGGTCTGTTTCTTATTGTGGGTAATGCAGGATTTGTATCATGAGCCGTAGGGCTCGGAACAGTCATCACAGATTTCCCTAAACCCTAAACCCTAAACCCTAAACCCTAAACCCTAAACCCTAAACCCTAAACCCTAAACGCCACGAGCTTGTCCAGCCATCTAGTCCCGCCCAGCACAGCCACTCGGATTCGGGAGCCCCAAAGCATGGTTTGGGGCTTAGAGTTGAGGCTTTAGGGTTTAGGGTTTAGGGTTGAGGCTTTAGGGTTTAGGGTTTAGGGTTGAGGCTTTAGGGTTTAGGTTGAGGGTTTAGGGTTTGGGGCTTAGTGTTGAGAGTTTTGGGTGCAGGGCTTCGGGTTGAGGCTTTAGGGTTTAGGGTTTAGGGTTGAGGGTTCAGGGTTTGGGGCTTAGGGTTGAAAGTTTTGGGTTTAGGGCTTCGGGTGGAAGGTTTAGGGTTTTGGGGCTTAGGGCTTAGGGCTTAGGGGGTTGAGGGTATGGATCGCTCAGGTTAGACACAGATGAGACTGGCAACCCAGGGAATGCACGCGGGTCCAGCGAGAGTTTGGGAGCCTTGCCTGATCAGGACTTGTCTCCTACTTGAATCGTCTCACATGTTGGGTTTAAGGTTTTGGGCTTGGGGTCTGGGGTTTAAGTTTGTATAGGGTTTAGGGTGTAAAAATGGATCCTGCCAGTATGGTCCTTTCAGAATTCGGGCCTTTCTTGTTCACCAGGACTCCACGTTAGAGCCAGATTTGCCAGGGGGCTTGCCCATCTGTTTGAAACTAAACGGTGTTGCAGCAGAGCTGCTACACCGCTCACGCCATTTTCCAGGCTGGCACATGGCAGCCAGTTGGTGGAACGGGCGGAAAGACCACGAACACAACGATACTGTAAATCCCCAAACACTTGGGTTTAGGGTTCAGGGGTTGAGGGGTCCATAGGGTTTAGGGGTTTAGGGCGTAGCATTCGAAGCCAGTAAACTTGTCATGCTGTTGTAGGGTTGTTCGGCCGGTCACCACCTAACAGACACGCAATTCCGAAGTGCACAGAAAAAACGCACTGCTGCTTCTCCGGATATAGCTTGCCAGTCTTCTACGTATGCATGTCCTTGTCGCTGTTGACAACGTTGCTGATGTCAGTTCTGCTCCTTCCTCGTCGCAGACACCCTAAGCCCTAAACCCTAAACCCTAAAACCCTAAACCCTAAACCGTATAAACCCTAACCTATGAGCCCGAAGCCATACGCAAACCCTAAACATCCCGAAGCCCAACCTCTAAACGCTTCGGGCTGTTAAGTGCTCAGACTTTGGAGGCGTATGGCTTGGGGCGAAAAGCCGCCCTTCAACATGGAACCCCGGTTTAGGGTTTAGGGTTTGGGGCACCTTGTAACTGGCGCCGCCTCTCGAGAATCATGCTTCTGTTTCATTGGCTCAACGCACTGACATGGAGGCCTCGATAGTCAGAATCTCGAGTGTTTTGTAGTTTTGGGGTCCAGAGTTTAAGGGGAAGCTTCTATGGTCAAAGCTGAAGGCCGTAATCCGCAAGCGCCAAAACCTCAAGAACTTGCGCAGAGAGCCCAATGTTCCTTAATTAATGAAGAAGCCTCAACCTATATAGGGGCCTTAATATGCTCTCTGGGTGCAGGCGCAAGAGATCTTCATGGCCCTAGACTCGCTGCCCACGGCTACAGCCGCAGCCTCACACAATGTCAAGGCACGTGCCCTAAACCCTAAACCCTAAGCCCTAAACCCTAAACCCTAAACCCTAAACCCTAAACCCAAACCCCTAAACCCTAAACCGTGCATGGCTTCCAGTTCAGGGCTTAGGCTTTGGGGATATTTGGAGTTTTAGGGTTCGAGGTTTGGGTTTAGGGTTTAGGGCTTACCTTGACCCCAAATAACCTTCCTGTCTAGGGACTTGTAAAAAGAAATCATCATCAGGAACCTAAAAAGGTAGGTTCTTTAGGGTCCGGGTAGGGTCTATATCCTCCACCCTAAGTTCTGGACCTGCAGATTTTCAGCGAAGACGTTCGATGGCCTGCCTTCAACGCTGAACACCTAATCCCCTAACCGCCTACACTACACCTCGAATCCGCGACACATCCGCTCTACTCCCCTCAGCCCCTCAGCCCAAAACCCTAAACCCCAAGCTCCTAAACCAGGCTCACTCGGACGAAACGGCCGCTGCACTTAAAAAGAGAAACTCCTAAACCCTAAACCCTAACTCCCTAATTCCTCAACCCCTATAATCCCCCGAAACCCCTCAACGCTAAACCCCTAAACCCCTACACCCTAAACCCCGAAACTGTAAACCCTGAATTCTAAATCCCGAACCCTGAAGCCCCCTAAACTTTCCCTTCCCCGTAGATAGAACACACAGATCCTGCCCTGCCGAAACTAGATGGTATATGACGTTGGCCTTCGAAAAGATGTAGAAGCCGAAATAAATACCAAAACTATTCCTTGGGGTTCTTAGTAGGCGTAATTGTGCTATAAACGAGTTAGAAAAACCGTACTCTACTTAAATAAGGCCCCTATCTTAAGGGTCTCACGGTTTCTGGTTCAGGTCCCAAAGTTTTTTCTTGAGAATGGCGGCTTCTTGGTTCAGGGTTTAGGGGTTCAGGGTTTAGGGTTCAGGGGTTTGGGGTTTTGGGGTTTAGGGCTTCAGGGTTAGGGGTTTAGGGGTTAAGGTTTCAGTGTTTTCGGTCCTCCAGTGCGGCGCAGAGCAATGCATGGGCATTACGGGTCTAAGGCCTTACATAGTACTCAAGCTATTTGGTTTCGCATGCCCCAGGACCCTGGTGCTAGCCTGCGTGTTTCTGGTTGTTTCTGGGGTCGCACGGTAGGTTTTCTGTGGCGGAGCGGGGAGGTGTGGAGAGCGGGCGGGGTGGGGGGGGGGAGGGGGGAGAGTGATGACGTCCGTTCCTACGGCGACCATGTGCAAAAACACAGGCATTTACAGCGTTCCTGGGGATGCATCGCTATGATGGTCGAATTATATATAAAGAAGGAACCCCATTCAGACTTCTGCATTATGCTACGCTAAGTGTGGCACTACTTCTCGAACCCCCAAACCTGAAGAGCAAGCCCTAAGCACACTCTGAACCCCCAAGGCCAAGCACTGACCCCAAACCTTAGTTGAACGGTTTAGGGTTTAGGGTTTAGGGTTAACGGTCAAGAACTCTCCCAATTTACCTATGCAACAGCCGCAGGCTGCCAAAGAGGGCTTCCTCCGCCTCTTTTCAGAGCTGGCGACGGTGCAGGGCCGATTGGAGACTTGGCTGGGCTTGGATGGTTGGCTTTAGGGTTTAGGGTTTAGGGTTGAGGGTTTAGGGTTTCAGGGTTCAGGGTTTGGCCTTTAAGGGGAATGGCGAGCGCAAAGTCTACCTGGACCTTTTGGTCAAGGGGCTTGTCCCCAAACCGTAAACCCTAAACCCTAAAGCCTTAACCCTAAACCCTAAACCCTAAAAACTTAGCCGCCAATTCTGCAGGGTTGATAGGTGTTTTGGGCTTGGAGTACGGGAACCAGCGTCGATAAAGCAGCTTTGGCTGTAGGCCTTTTCAGGAGGTGGGCGGGTGCAAGAGGGGTTTTGGGTTTAGGGAGTGTTTAGGGGTTTGGGGTTTAGGATTTAGGGGGGCGGGCCGGTAACGCTTCAACCCCCTTGAACACAGGAATGTGAGGTGTTGTATATTCCGAAGCGGATGCGTACGTGGGGTTTCTTCTGGTTTTAATGTTCACTTGAAATGAAGAAAGGTCCCCCCCCCCCCACCCCCAAAGGGTTTGAGCCCCCGCCCCCGTAATAAGAGTCCGGATCCAGCATCAGAGCCACTCATCAAAGATGTAAGTCCAGCTTCGTGCTTCTGCAGTTTGCACGGATTTGCTGAGGTAGCGGGCTTGAGTACAAATTTTTAACCCCAGGAGCCTTAAAGCCTTTTCAATTCCTTAGAACTTTCATCTATATAAGCAAGATTCTGGTTACGGTTTGCCTGCTCCGGCCGCTTGGATTCTGCAAATACGGCGGGGTTTCTAATAACGTTCTGGGACTTGGATTTTGCGACTAATCGCTTTCCCCTAACATTATACCCCCCCCTGAGACAGATAATTAAATGCATTAGGGGGCCTAGAATTGTATTAATTAATCGAGCCAAGATTACAGCAGTACTAATCAAACCGAAAGGACCAGAGCTTTAGGGTTTAGAGGCTTAGGGTTTGGGGCTTAAGGTTGAGGGCTTAGGGCTGTAGGGCTCAAGGTTTCGGGCTTATATAGGCTTTAGGGTTTTGGGCTCAGGCCTCTAGGACTTAGCGCTTAGGGCTTCGGGCTGACTGTTTGCTACAGCCGGAACGGCTGCGTGATGGACGGTCTTTGTGTCTGGCTCACTATTCCTGTCAATCCGACTTATACCCAGATGCGCAGAACCCCCCCTTTTCTAGGGGCGTTCAATATTAGGGGAAGAGCTTACGCCGAGATTCCAAAGATGAGTCTGACAGAATTACAAACTGCTAAACCCTAAACCCTCAAAGCCACTTGCAGGGTTCAGGCCTTTGTAGGGTTCAGGGTTTAGGCCCTGAGGGTAGAGTCGTCAAGGTATGCCTGGCGAGTTTGACAGATCTTTGGATTTTGCTCCGGGGCTCGGGCTCTGATGGGTGGTTATCATCATTACATACCAGTAGTAACAGTAGTATACGACCACGAACTCGGCGTATGGTCTGGATGTTAAACGCTCTCATGCACTGCTTCCCTTCTCTTGGTATCAACTCTCGCTCTTCAATCCCAAACCTTCAACCCTAAAGCCCAGGTCCCAAACTTCAGAATCCTAAACCCTAAACCCTTAACCCTAGACCCTAAATCCAAACCTAAAAAAATTAAACCACCCACCCTACAATCCTAAAGTCTTACACCAGGCGAAGAAATTTCATCATCGGCTTCCGAGTTAAGTAAGCCTGGATATCTAAGGTTGAAACCATGGGCCCCTAGTAACCCTTCGGATCCTTATAAACCTACTATATACCCTATATGTACCCTTACGGGTCCCTAGAAAGGCCTAAGCGTCCACATTAGGGGCCATACTTCCAACCTTAGAGAATAGCTACTTCTGGCACTCCTTGGGCTCCGAATGTTAACGGTTTAGGGGTTTAGGGTTTAGGGTTTAGGGTTTAGGGTTTAGGGTTTAGGGTTTAGGGTATATAAGCCTAGTCCAACTACCACTCGGGGTTTACTTGGAGGTTCATGGATAGTTAGAAGTGGGGTTATAAGTAGGGTAACTCTGATTACAACCCTAATTAGGGGGCTTATAACGCCACTTATAACTAACCCACCAGCCTCCAAGTAGGGTTTAGGCTTTTGAAACCAAGCAGGAAACGCAGCTGAAGCTGAAGCAGGCCGGGTGCGGAAGCCATAGGTGCTTATGCGAGACCTATAAGCCCTAAACCCATCGGTGTTAGGGTCAACCCTAAACCCTTAACCCTAAGCCCCATAAACCCTGAGCCCTAAAGCCTAAACCCTGAACCCTAAACCCTAAACCCTAAACTATGAGGGCTTAGAGGTCCCGAGGATAGGAGTGTTGGGGGGGTCAGGCTTTGGGGGTTTAGGTGCTTTAGGGGGGTTTGCAGTTTAGGGTTTGGGGCTTGAGGGTTTGGAGTTTGGGGTTTGGAATTTAGGGTTTGGGGCTTGAGGGTTTGGAGTTATTAAGGGTTTGGAGTTTAGGGTTTAGGGTTTGCGGGTTTAGAGTTTAGGATTGCAGGTGCTTAAAGTCTCGGACAGTGTAGAGCGTAGGGTAGGGCGGTCATGTTCAGATCCGCCCCAAACGGTTTGGGTTACTATAGAAGCCTGAATGATTACCAAGATTACTTAGGGGAGCCCGAAACCCTAAACCCTAAGCCCTAAACCCTAAACCCTAAGCCTTTTCTAACCATTAAATCATGACGGCCCCTACATTAGGGTTGACCGGGTCGGGGGGTCGCATCGAGCTGTGCTGACGAACACGGGAACTCCAAACTCGCAAACCCGAAACCCCAAGAGCTAAACTCTACTTCGGAGGTCCCGGTTTAATACGGCTTGTACATATAGTTACCCTGCTTATAACTCCACTTCGAGCTACCCATGAACCCCCAAGTAAACCCTCCCGACCCTAAACCCTAAACCCTAAACCTCCATAGAACCCTTTAAGGAACCCTAACACCCCCAATGATGCATCCCCTCGGGTTCTTGTACAGGAACTCTTATACAGACCCCTGAAAGGAACCTTGCAGAGGACCTTTTAGAAACCTATCAACGGACCGTTGCAATACTGTTGGTGATAGAAATCCTGCAGTACTCTAAGGACCCTAAACTATGGGAATTATGGTATATTCCTTATTATGGGTAATGCAGGATTTATATCACCAACCGTAGGAAGCCTTGAAGGAGCCCAAGGCCAGGAACCCTACAGAAATCTTTAAACGGACTTTTACAGAAGCCCTGAACCCTAAACCCTAAATCCTGGCCGGGATTGTCGTAAAGTCTGCACAGTGTCTGCACCGAAAAAAATACCCTAAGTCCTAAACCCTAAATCCTTCCGGGAACCTTTTAAGCACCTTAAACCTTAAATCCTAAACCCTAAATCCCTTCAGGAACCCCTTAAGCACCCTAAGCCCTAAACCTTAAATCCTTTCAGGAACCCTACAGAAATCTTTAGACGAGCTTTTAAAGGAGCCCTTACAAGAATCCTTTCAAAACCCCTTTAAGCACCCTAAACCCCAAACCCTAAATCCTTTCAGGAACCCTTTAGGCACCCCAAACCCCAAACCCTAAATCCTTTCAGGAACCCTTTAAGCATCTTAAACCCTAAACCCTAAATCCTTTCAGGAACCCTTTAAGCACCCCCTTTAAGGACAGCCTTAAAAGACCTAGTTGTAGAGTAGGTAACCTTTAACCTTTTTCGGGTAGTCTATCCCTATGTTAACCCTTTATAAAACCTAAACCCTAAACCCTAAACCCCTAAACCCTAAACCCTAAACCCTAAAAGAGCTGTGGAGGAGCTCCAGGCGGCTCTCGCCAGACAGGGTGGCCCCGAATCGCTTCGGAGTCAGCTGCAGGAGGCGGGCGGAAGTTAGGGTTTGGGGTTGAAGGTTTAGGGTTTAGGGTTTAAGGTTTAGGGTTTAGGGTTTAAGGTTCAAGCTTTAGGATTTGGCTTGAGGTTTAGGATTGGGGGCTTAAGGTTTAGGGTTGAGGGTTGAAGGTTTAGGTTTTAGGGTGTAGGGTTTAAGGTTTTAGGGTCTAGGGTTCAGGGTTTTCAGGGCTCGATCAGGCTACTGAAGGGGCCTTATGTGTTCCAGAAAGGTTTCAGGAGTTCAGTGCTGTTTTCGTTTGGGGATTCAGGATTTTAAGGTTTCGGATTTGGGATTTTCTGGGCGGTTCGGGAAAACGTCCGAAGTGTGCCGTGGGTCCGAAGCCTGAACCTCGAATCCTAACCTGGAAACCCGAAACCAAGCCCCAAGCCTACGTGCAGATGCAACCGGGCGCAGTTGCCGGAGGCGAGAAACCCCAACCCTAAACTCGCCCAAGGCGAGAAGGAGCTACGAAGAGCACATCCACGTTCTGCCGGGTGCTCTAAGACTGTAGTTGGGGGTCTCAGAGACTACGGATACCTTGTTTCGGGACCTGAAGAAGTAGTAATCGCATTTCTGAGGGCTCCCTGATGTAATGAAATTATACTGTAGTACCCAAAGCTCGGTTCTAATTATTCAGGCCCCGATATCATCTTATTCAGGGGCCCGCGCTAAGGATTCAGGATGGCAAACATTCGAGATTCTGAAGGAGTGCTCTGGGCGACATGCTTCGGGTTGGGTATTTCAAGCTGCTTCCAGGTGGAATTGTATTAGAGTTTCGGGTTTACGGTTTTCCGTACCTCCAGTGTTAACCATAATCCCTAAACCCTACGGCTTACCCCAAACCCCGCTAAAGGTCTTACCCGCCCCGGTTCACACTAAACCCTGAACCCGACTTGTAGCCGAAAAGACCTACCTTTGTCCGGCTCTTTATTTCTATGTTATACAATATATACAAGATATATATATATATATATACATATATATATATAGTTCCATAAGCAGAAAAGAGTAGGTCCTTCGGTCACAGGTAGGACCCAAACACAAGACCCTGAACCCTGAACCTAAACCCTTTATCTGAGCCCTAACAAAACCTACGGAGTCTCACATAAGAGCACTTTTCAGGGTTGAGGGTTTTGGGGTTTAGGGTTTAGTGTTTCGTTACAGATATCCTTACAGGAACCTCTAAGAGGAGCCCTTTAAAGGAACTTTTGACGACACCTCATGGAAGATCCGAGATCCATGGCTGTAGGCAGCCCGAAAGGTCAGGATTGCTTGCGTTTGGGGTTCAGGGTTTAGGGGTTTAATATAGGGGCCTTAATTAGAACAGGGTTTAGGGGTATATTATACTAGAACCATAATAAGGAATCTCCAAAACCCTATTCTAATTATTGAGGCCCCTACATTAGAGGCTAGGGTTTTCGAGTTGAAGTGTTTTGAGTTTAGGGCATAGGTTTGGGTTTCAGGGTCTAGGGTTTAGGGGTTCCAAGATCACTTCAAGCTGTGACTGAGATTATGCGAGCTTCTTCCGCCACCAGCGGGTCCTTCGCTTAAGGTGTTAGGTTTGGGGTCGAAGCGCTGGTTTAGGAGGGTTTAGGGTTCAAGATTTAGCGGTTTAGGGTTTAGGGTTTGAGAACTAGGGGTTTAGGGTGTAGGGTTTAAGATTTAGGTTCTACGTTTTCAGCTCTAGGGTTTGGAGGTCCCGGAGTTTGCAGGGGCTAAGGGCTCAGGGTTTAGGGCTTCGGAGTTCAGG